TCTGCAACATCAGAGCTGGGAACGGAACCTTGGGGAACAGACTCTATTGGTGCATAGAGATAAGCCCGACTGGTGTGAAGGGCTTTGGAATATGCTGGCTTGGAAACTAACCCCAATAAGCATCATATTGTCTGCATTCTGGACGTCTGGTCTGCTCTCTGTCTGTGTGACAAGAACCAGGGGAGAGGGTGAAGGGAAAAGCCCTCAGACAGGAACAAGTAATTCATACTGGTGGTTGATAAAATGTGTAGTCAATTCCTTGACCATTTATTAAGAAATATGTTCAAAAGGCAAAATAAACAACGTCAGGTTACTACTCAACACCCATAATAAAATAGCACTGGAAGAAGGTTTTATAGGATAGTAGTCTCTGGGAAGCCATCTCATGCAGTGATGTTACATTCGCCTTAGGCAGAAAGTGTGCTCCTCAATATTACACATTTCAGCTTTTATCATTTATATGAAGATCTCTCAAGTTACATGTCTCTTTACATGTCAGTAGAATTAAACCCATCAGTTTGGCCCAGGTCCCTAATATAATGGGGAGCTATTGTGGGGAACTTTCCTGGCTTCTGAACTACGCCAGAGCAATTGGCTAGGGAAACAGTCTGAGTCCCCACTCCCACTCCCTTTACCCACTCCCACTCCGGCTCTGCTCTGCCTTCTGCATCTCTGACCCTTGTGTTTATGGCTGATGCTGCTTTACCTCCACTTCCACTTGAGCTGGGGAGGTTAGCCAGAGTGCTACTGAATTAATAGCCCTAAATCACTTATATACTACCCCAAAAGTATCCCATCTATTTCTTGAAACAAAAGGGTTGCTGTTGTTTTTTATTATTAACGTATTAGATACCTGGTAAAGGTTTGAGATAAAAAGAAAGCTGCAAGATCCAGTAGGTGTTAGTACACATTAGCAACAACGCTATGAGATGTCAATTAAATTCAAAATCACGCCCCCCCCCCTTGCTGGTATTTGTATCCTGACTCAGGGTTGGCAAGTGTTTCAAACAAAATGCATTGAATAATGGTTTAAAAATGGGCAAAAAGTAGCCCAAAACAAAGGAGTGACCAGTGGAATCATTTCTTACATTGGTGTAAACTCTTCATAACATATTTGGCGTCGTTGCATCTACGCACTAACAGTGTGACAGGTTGGATCACAGAAACCCTCTTGGGACTGCCAACTGATGTGACAAGACTACTTCTGCCCCTGCTTTCCCTGCCAGCTTGGGACTTCAGTGCCCTGCCTGGTTTGAGCCAGACCCGCTAGCCTGCTGCAAACCCAGACCCAGGTCTGACCCATGTCCCCTTACAATTGCAGGCTTATTTGAAAGCAGCTTAAGAAGTGTTCCTGTCTCTAACACTCAGATGCCCAACTCCCAATGGGGTCCAAACGAACAAAGTGAATTACCAAGTAAAATAAAACAAAACACGCAAGTCTGAGTCTAATACAGTAAGAAAACTGAATACAGATAAATCCTCACCCTCAGAGGTGTTACAGTAAACTTCCTTTTACAGACTAGTCTCCTTCTAGTCTGGGTCCAGCAATCACTCACCCCCCCTGAAGTTACTGTTCTTTTTTCCAGTTTCTTTCAGGTATCCTTTGGGGTGGAGAGGCTATCTCTTGAGCCAGCTGAAGACAAAATGGAGGGGTCTCTCCAGCGTTTAAATAGACTTTCTCTTGTGGGTGGACACCTCTCCCTGTGTAGAATTGCAATTACAATATGGAATTTTGGAGTCACATGGGCCAAGAACTTACAGGTAGCAGCCATAGTTCACATGCTACCTTGAACATCTTCAAGTAGACTTCTTATGTGGATTGGAGCATTCCAAGATACATTGTTCGTTAAGTGCTTCTTGATTGGGCACTTAATTTGCACATTCTTTTCTCAAGAAACTGACCAAAAGCTTTACTAAGGCTACTTAAAAGTCAAGCAAATACACAGACAACCTGCATAACTTTGAGTACAAAAATGATACATACATACAAATAGGATTAATAGATTAAGAAGATCATAACCTTTACAGTGATATGTTACATGGCATATGTAGCATAAAACATATCCCAGTTATGTCATATATACACATTCATAAGCATATTTCAATAAAGCCTTATGGGGTGCACCATCACACCCTCCTCCTGAACTTACTGACAGAGACTTGGACACTTTCCATGGTGGAAGAGGTACATGTACAATCCCTGTTTGTCTTTGGTCATACTCCCTTTCAGTATCTTTAAACCATATGATGTCATTCATAAGTGTTCTAGCAAGTTTTGGGGTTCCTGGTCCCCTGGGTGCCTGAAAACAGGTTGCAGACAGCAATATCTGTTGAAGTGTAGGTGTCTTGGCACTTAGCAACCAATGCCATGAGGCGGTGTACCTCAGTTTCCCCTTCTACACAGCAGCATAGGCCTGTTACGCTTAACCACCCTGGATAACCAACAAAGTTAAGGAAGCAGTGAGAGGCAAAAAGGCATCCTTTAAGGAGTGGAAGTTAAATCCTAGTGAGGAAAATGGAAAGGAGCATAAACATTGGCAAATGAAGTGTAAAAATACAGTTAGGAAGGCCAAAAAAGCATTTGAGGAACAGTTAGTCAAAGACTCAAAAAGTAATAGCAATTTTTTTTTTAAAGTACATCAGAAGTGGGAAGCCTGCTAAACAAGCAGGGAGGCCACTGGATGATTGAGGTTCTAAAGGCGCACTCAAGGATGATAAGGCCATTGTGGAGAAAAGAAATAAATTCTTTGCATCGGTCTTCATGGCTGAGGATCTGAGGGAGATCCCAAAACCTGAGCCATACATTTTAGGTGACAGATCTGAGGAACTGTCCCAGATTGAGGTGTCATTAAAGGAGGCTTTGGAACAAATTGATTAATTAAACAGCAATAAGTCACCAGGGCCAGATGGGATTCACCCAAGAGTTCTGAAGGAACTCAAATGTGAAATTGCAAGCTACTAACTGTAGTCTGTAAACTATCATTTAAATCAGCTTCTGTACAAAATGACTGGAGGATAGCTAATGTGATGCCAATTTTAAAAAGAGGTCCAGAGGTGACCCAGGCAATTACAGGCCTGTAAGCCTGATTTCATTACCAGGCAAACTGGTTGAGACTATAATAAAGAACAATATTGTCTGATATATAGATGAACATAATTCATTGAGGAAGAGTCAACATGGTTTTTGTAAAGGGAAATCATGCCTCACAATCTACTAGAATTCTTTGAGGGGGACAAGAAGCATGTGGACCCAGGGGATCCAGTGGATATGCATCTGAAGAAGTGAGGTTCTTACCCACAAAAGCTTATGCTCCCAATACTTCTGTTAGTCTTAAAGGTGCCACAGGACCCTCTGTTGCTTTTTACAGATTCAGACTAACATGGCTACCCCTCTGATACTTGACACCAGTGGATATAGTGTACTTAGATTTTCAGAAAGCCTTTGACATAGTCCCTCACCAAAGGCTCTTACGCAAAGTAAGCTGCTACGCGATAAGAGGGAAGGTGTTCTCATGGATTGGTAACTAGTTAAAAGATAGGAAACAAAGGGTAGGTTTAAATGGTTGGTTTTCAGAATGTAGAGAGGTAATTAGTGGTGTCTCCCAGGGGTCTATTCTGGGACTGGTCCTATTAAACATATTCATAAAGGATCTGGGAAAAGGGTAAACAGTGAGCTGGCAAAATTTGCAGATGATACAAAACTATTAAAGATAGTTAAGACCCATGCAGCCTGCGAAGAGCTACAAAGGGATCTCTCAAAACTGGGTGACTGGGTAACAAAATGGCAGATTAAATTTAACGCTGATAAATGCAAAGTAATGCACACTGGAAAGCATAATCCCAACAATACCTATAAAATGATGGGGTCTAAATTAACCACTCAAGAAAGAGATCTTGGAGTCACTGTGGTTAGTTCTCTGAAAACATCCACTCAGTGAGCAGCAGCAGTCAAAAAATCTAACAGAATGCTGGGAATAATTAAGAAAGGGATAGATAATAGGACAGAAAATATCGTGTTGCCACTATATAAATCTATCTTGAATATCATGTGCAGATGTGGTCACCCCATCTCAAAAAGCGATATTGGAATTGGGAAAGTTTCAGAAAAGGCAACAAAAATGATTAGGAGTATGGAAAGACTTCCGTATGAGAAGAGATTAATAAGACTGGGACTTTTCAGCTTGGAAAAGAGATGGCTAAGGGGAGATATGATTGAGGTCTATAAAATCATGACAGGTGTAGAGAAAGTAGATAAGAAAGTGTTTATTACTTCTCATAACATTAGAACTAAGGGTCAACAAATGAAATTAATAGGCAGCAGGTTTAAAATAAATAAAAGGAAGTATTTCCTCACACAACTCACAGTCAACCTGCAGACCTCCTTGCCAGAGGATCTTGTGAAGGCCAAGAATAAAACAGGGTTCAAAAAGAACTAGATAAGTTCATGGAGGATAGGTCCATCAATGCCTATTAGCCAGAATGGGCACAAATGGAGTCCCTAGCCTCTGTTTGCCCAAAGCTGAGAATGAGCAACAGGAGATGAATCACTTGATGTTTACCTCTTCTGTTCATTCCCTCTGGGCTAAATGAACCTTTGGTCTCACCCAGACGAGCAATTTTTATGCTCTTAATCTTTTATAACTTCTACAAAACACAGAGGTCATAATGACCCCCACTGGGTCATCGCTTTTACTTACTTTCTATTAACGTCTAGTATCAGAGGTGTCCAGACTTAAGCTTTTCATCCATTTACCGTCTCTCTTTCTCACTTATTTCCTTATCTGTGCACTCCTCCCATTGCAATTAGCAGAAACTGCCTGCTAGATTTTCACCTTGCATCTAAAAGCCTGCTTTCTAATCAACCCTTAACTATGTGGTGTTCTATTTTATTAATACATTGTGGACAGTGAACATCATATGGTTGTGATTTGTTTGATCACATTTGGGGTAAACACCCCTCAAAAAAGGGTAACATAGTGCATTTCCAAAACCCTCTCTTGTCACTCAGGTTTAAAGTCAGTAGCATGTGGTGAGTGCATTCTGCAAATGTTTTTGACCACTTTGTCACGAAGCTCTTTGGTTTTGACCCCATAAATGATAGGGTTGAGCATGGGGGGAATGAGGTAATGGAAGTTGGACAAGATGATGTGAACATGCAGAGCGATGTCCTCACCAAACCGGTGTGCCAGTGTGGAGAAGAGTCCAACAGGATAAGCCATCAGTAGCGCACAGATGTGGGCTGTGCAGGTGTTGAGGGCTTTCTGGTTGGCTTCCTGGGAGGAGAGTCTGAGGACAGTCCTGATGATCAGACCATAGGACAAGCCAATGAGCGTCAGGTCAAACCCAATGACTAAAAACGCCAACACCAAGCCATATATTCTGCTGCCTGTGTTGTCCCCACACAAAATCTTTGCCACAGCTATGTGGTCACAGTATGTGTGGGGGATAATGCGGTTGACACACAATGGCTGCCTGCTCACAAGCAAGGGCATAGGCAGGATGAAGAGAACAGCTCTTATCATACCAAGTAGCCCTAGCTTAGCTATTCGTGCGTTGCTGAGGATGGTGGCATATCTCAGAGGGTTACATATGGCAACGTAGCGATCAAAGGCCATTGTCACTAGGACAGCTGAGTGCATTGTAGAAAATGCATGAAAGAAGAACATCTGGGTGAGGCAGCCCTTCACAGTAATGCTTGTCAAATTAAACCAAAATATACACAGTGCCTTTGGCACAAAGGAGGTAGATGTGCCAATGTCTGCGAGTGCCAGCATGCAGAGCAGCAGATACATCGGCTTGTGCAGGGTCTGCTCTTTGCCTACAACAAACAGAACTGTGATATTTCCCAACAGGGCCATAATGTAGACCATAAAGAAAGGGATGGAAATCCAAATGTGGGCATCTTCCAGGTTAGGGATGCCAGCTAGAATTAATATTGAAGAGTCGTAGGGGGTGAAGTTGAAATCTGCCATGAGGTAGCCGATGCGTCAATCAGGCTCAAAAATACTTAAGGTTCCTGTGAAGGGAGAGAAGCACAGTGAGGGGGGTTGCACAGTTTATAACACATAGTTATAAAAAATCTAGAAAGGGGGTTAACCAGCTAGGTGGAATATTTACAGATGGCACCACATTATTTTGGCCATAGTTAACTGCAGAAAAGTCCTTAGAGGGAGCTAACCAAATCAGTGAATGGGCAAAATGCTGGCAGATGAACTTTGGTGTCACTAACTGCAATGTGTTTGTCCATTGGAGGGAAACGCTTGAATTCCTCAAACACCTAACAAGGTTCTAATTTAAATGTACGAGCCCAGGACAGGGATGTAGGTGTCATGGTAGACAGCTCTGGGAAACTCTAACCACAGTACAAGCACAGAGAAAATACTAAGAAAATCACTAGTATCCTGGAGGAGTGGGGTGGGAAATATTGCAGAAATTACAATGCCATGAGATCAATCAAGTCAATAGTTCACACTCCTCTGGACTCCTCTGTGTAGTACTCGGCACCCTTCTCACACAGGGTATTGCAGAGCTAGAGGGATTGAGGCAAGGGCAAGGAGAATGCTCAAGGGTACTTGGAAACTCTCATACAGAGTTTGAAAACACTGGGAATATTACCTTACAAAGCACATGAATTAGAGGCAACATGAGAAAAGTCTGTAAAATACTGACGGGTACAGATTATATTGAGAATGTGTTCCCCTGTCTTATAACACAAGACCAAGAGGGTATTAAATTACAGTAAAATATGGGAAATTCACAATCTGAAATACTGACTGGCTGATAAGTAGTTGAGGCCATGAGTTAAGCAAGAATCAGGAAGAATTTGGACATTAACATGCATAGTGATACTATCCAGTCATAATTCTTACAGCTAAATAAATATTTTGGAAAGCCCATATGCCCATGTGTTTCAGGGCACAAGCCAATCTCTAGGTGTTAGGCATTAGGGTGACAGCATCATCGTGGTCAAGTCACCCTCCCACCCCCATCAGTCTACTGCTTGGTGTCTTAAACCTTCTTCTGCAGAATCTGTGTTTGTCACATGGTTTCTATGTATGTAACAAGAGAAGACATATAGCTGCCTGCCTTGGCATTTGCCACTCGTGTGTGATATATCTCACCGACTGGTGAGACACATTCAATGGTTACACCTCAGCTAAGGGAGCAGGTGTGACAGGAGGCACCTCACCCCCTGCAGAGGAAGAGCTGTGGGGAGTGTGGGATGGACCTGAGATTGACGGATCCAAGTATTAGTGGGGAGCACAGGGCAGACACTGGTGACCAGCGTGCTGTTGGAATTGGGGCAGCCTGGGATGTGGAAGGAGAGTATGCAGAGGGGGGTCAGAGTATAATGGGAGATTTGAAAAGGTGAGGAGCAAACTGTGACAGGTTTATCCCTGGTGCCACCTGGAGCTGGGGTTCCACCGAGCCCTCTGACTCATCAGCCTGAGCTCCCTCTCTCAATGTGCTGTTGTGACCTACTAAAGATCCACTCCCAGTCCTGCACCTCCATCTGCGTTGCCACAGGCAGGGACATACCCAGCTGCAGTTACATACAGCCTCTGCATGGACCAACAACAGAATGGTTACAGCGAAAATAACCACCAGCTCCCTAGCCTAGGACCCCAGAGCTGTACCAGCTTGACCGGGTCCAGACGCCAACCAGTATGAATTTCTTTCCTGGTTTGTCTCTCCCTGAATGTGGGGAGCCCAGTGCACACTTTTGGTAACCAAGCGGATATTCCACCGCCCTCCCCAGACACTTCACTTAACGGCATCCTGGGTTTAGATTAAAACATCAAACAACTTTGTCAATTACACCTTTGGTTTCTCGGTTTTCCATACAGGTTAGAAATCCCTTTGGCTGGAGTCCAGCACTTCCCCTCATTCAGGCTTATTTCCTCAGGTGTTTCCCATCCTCTTGTGTGGAGAGTGAAGAACCAGCGATGATGTCAATCCCTGATTTTAGCTTTAGCATATAGCGGGAACCCTTTCTTTCAAAACTTGGTACCTTTCCCACAAACTGCTCTGGGAAGCAACTCTGCAAAATGGAGGGCAGAACTATGTGGCCTAGTCACATGCCCTTGTAGAGTCATAGCATCTATTACTTATATGCTGTCTGGAGCATTGTCAGGAAGCTTCCTAAGGCCTATTGTCTTCCCTATTGGCGCATTTCCCTGAATAGGCCTCTCCCAACCACCTGTCTAGACTGAAACCAACTTTTCTAGTGGGCATTACAAAGGTGTAACTACAATTGAAAAACAGATACGTAGTCAATATTCATGACTTCAGGTACACAAACGATACATGCATAGAAATAGGATAATCATATTCAGAACATCATAACTTTTCCAATGACATCTTACAAGACACATCTTACATGAAAATTTTCATAAATATGCTATGATCACAGCATAATAATATCATTATGAAACATAGGGGCTGCAGTGTCACACAACGATCAATTGTTCTTTCTACCGGTGTAATGTCTGAAGTTACACAGCATCAACAACAGTTGGAAATAAAACTGAGTAACCGTTGTGACACACAGGCTGCAGTTCTGTGACTTGCCAGGGCAAGGAGACCCATAGACCAGCACAAATGCACTCAGGGCCAGGAAAGTTCCCAGCACTGGCCTTGGACCAACAATTAGAAAGAAAAATTTAATTTCAGCAGTACTTCTCACCTGGCATGCATATACCAACTGGCTGTCCCCACAACCCTCAGTTCTTTCCGATTCTGTGTACACACCCTGCTCACCCTCAGCTTCCATTCAATGTGACTGCACAGAGTTGCACATACAGTTACATTTATATAATTGGGTTTTATTATTAAACCAAAAACTTGCTCCTTGTAACACCACAACTGTTACCTGTACCATTTCCACAACTCCCAAATGTTTACTTTCCTCCAAACTTTGTATTATTAATTCATGCAAAAGGTATTTGTAACTTTTCACTTACTTTTTTAAATCACTCACTCCTACATTTAGTTTTTTAAGGCAGCGCAATTTGTTTGTAACAACGGAGCCACCAAGTACAATTATTGCCACACAGCTGCCTTAACCTGTGCTGTTTTTACCTTGAGACTGTTTAAAAGGCAGTAAAACATTTGTTTTCATGGTTGCCCATGGATCTGTTACTCCAAAAATTCCAGGGGAATACAGCAGCCATTTATACAAAACTAAACAAAAAACCAAAAACATTTCACATAAGTATTCAAAGTACCCTCCATAAAACTTTAGAAAAACAGAAGTGTGGAAAGGCGGAGGGAGCAGAGGGGGAAGAGGTAGAAAGAAACCAATTAAGCCTGTCAGGTCAGTTTAAAGTACAGGCTACGGGCAACAAATTAAGTAAACTGAGAGAGAAGAAGGAAAAGAAGAAAAGGATATAGTTACCTCTGAGCCAAGAGTATGCTCCCCGGGTTGAAACAGTTGGATACCCTCACCCCGAGGTTCTCAGCCTGGCTCTGGGAGAAGAGTGGGGGTTGTTACCTGTTCCTGCAAACCCGGCCATTTTTCACTTTGAAACTTTTTCTTATTTCCTCCACTCCCCCATGACCAAGTCCCAGCTCCTGTCTCTAAAGGTGGTCTGTTAACTCTGCTTCTGACTCTAAACCCTGTTGTGCCAGATTATTTTTAACCACCCCTAACTTATTTACACCCCTTCAGCAGCCCTTGCTGAAGCAGCACCAAACTTGAAAGATTACTGGCAGCTTCCCATAATGCTGCCCTACCTTCAAACCTCTCACAAGTGGACTGAAGTGTCTCCTTTCCCTGGAAAGCATTTAGTTTCAATGGGCAGGGACCTTCTTTCACTACCTATATACCAAAGGAGGGTGGGCTCCTTAGCTCCCCCCATCCCACTGGGTCCCCTAACACTGCCCCCATCTCCTTTTTATTCTCATCCCAGGCTAACCCCTGCACCTGGTATGGGCCCTGGTTCTTCCTTATCCATTTATCCAAAAAATCCTTTACCCTGGCTTGTCAGAACCCGCAACTACCATCAGGAGAGTTTCCCCTCTCCAAGCAGCTGCACGGACTGTTGTAGAGGGGGACTTACAGGCTGCCACTCACCTATCCGATGCGATGCATCTGAGTCAATGGCACCAAGATGTTAGGGGGCTTATTCCTTCACCCTCTCACTTCCCTGGTCCTTCTCGCATGAACAAAGAGCAACAATACACGAAGTCGGAAGGTGCAAACAATTCGATTTTTATTGGGGTGAACTTTTAGCAAGCATGATTCCAGTTTCCTTCCTCAGTGTCCCCCTTCCCAGCACTGCTATAACAGAGCCTTGCCTGTGTCCCCGTTCCCAGTTCCTGTTCCCATTCCCCCACTTAGCAAAACATAATTTCAATTCCCCCATTCCCTGTTCCCATTTCCCCCCTTACTTCCTGATTGACTGCAGACTATATAGTAAAACTTGAGTTCAGCTTAGCTATACCTTAACCAATTATTTTACTGAAATTTAACTAACCAATCCTAACACATTGTAACATAGTTATTTAACCAATTATATCCCACCACCTTAATTGGTTTACACCCAACAAAATAATGATACAGGAGACAGAAACAATCACAGAACCAGGAAGAGATTATACAGACAAACAATAGGGAAATGGAGACTACAGTGATAGAACAATACAGAAATGAGGATTTTACATTCCAGCTATTGATAAGTGAGTTTTTTTCCAGGCAGGATGCTATTAAACTAAGTTTTCTTTTCCATCTTCTAGGCTTTTCCCTTTCTCTGGAAGTGACAGAAATATCAGGACAGGATTGTGTTCCTAACAGCCCCTTAGCACCTTATTTCCATGTGACTAGTTTGGGATGGGAGGATGTGACCGTTCACTTTCCAGTTTATAGCTGCCTCTACTGCTTAGCCAAAGGCCTTATCCTAAAGACAGGGCCTCAGACTGTCACAGTAAAACAAGGCCCTTACACAGACCAACAGTAATTTTCTTTTTTTCT